CTGGGCCTGAGGGCAGCCTGGGCTGCTGGGAAGGACTTCCTAGTGAGCTGCGTGTGGGGAAGTCAGGAAGAAAACATCACCTTTTCTTAAGGCCTTAGCCCTCTTGGTACGGCGTGTTTCTAAGCTGGGAAATCCAAGGCCTACATCCTAGTCCCAATGTGGAGCACACTCACTGTGACCCATGAGCATGCCCCTTCTGGGCTTAGCCTTTGTAGGCTGAGGAGCTGGACTGGCCTAGAGAATCCCCTGGGGATCCTTGAGCCATGAGAATGGTATGAGACATCTGTGCTTAGGCTGTGTGGGGAGTTCAGGAGGTAGAACTTGCCCAGTGGGTGTATGCGTGAGGAAGACTAATGAGAAAGGTGGGTCTGTGAAGATGAAGGAGCTGGCCTGGCCATCATCCCCCACTTCAAAAGAAGTGGCACACTGGCATGTTCTCCTCATGGAACAAGGAAGTGTGAAGGCCTGCACCACATAGGAGAGGGTCCTCCCAACTGAACCTTTTTTTCTGAGAAAGTCTTGTTCTGTCACCAAGAGGCTGGAGTACAGTGGTACAATCACAGCTCATTGTAACCTTTAACTCCTGGGCTGAAGCTATCATTGTGCCTCTGCCTCCTGAATAGTTGGGACTATAAGTATGTGCCACCATGCCCGACTAATGAAAAAAATTTTTTTTGATACAGACAGGGTCTTGCTAGGTTGGCTAGGCTTGTCTTAAACTCCCATCCTCAAGCACTCCTCCCACCATAGCCTTCTCAGTTACTATAAATGTAAACGTATAGACCTGCTGATTGTGACCTACACCTCCCCCTCAACATTGACATTCCTTCTTCCCTTCCCTGGTCTGTCCAGAACAGGATCCTGGTTCAAATCAAAACCCTGATTGCTGTTTCAAACAGACCCTGTAATCAGTCAGGAGGATCTGCTTTCATCTTCACAGTCCTGCACACAATGTCTCCCCCACCCACTGCATGCCAGGCTGGTACCACTGTTGAGGAGCCAGGCCTGCCAGATAACACAGGAATTCCAGAGATAAGAATTTTTTTTTTTTTTTTCAGAGATAAGAATTTAGTCTCTGGAAAGCTCTGGTCCTTGAAGAATCTCCTGCTAAGAGTGTGTGGGGCTAGAGCTGGTAGAGGAGATATTCATTCTCAGGGAGCAACTAGGTGGTTTCCTGGCACCCATAGGCTCCCTCCATGTATGGGGTAGAGGCAGTGAGGTATCTTTCCCTCCAGTCCACATTCAAAGAAATTCTTGTCCAAGATTTAGGTTTATAGTGACTGAGCGGTCTGAGGTGGGAGGAGTGCTTGAGGCCAAGAGTTTAAGACAAACCTGGCTGCTGCTCAGTGAAGAATCCACCAAGCCCATGAGAAACAGCATCCCCTTGGTGAAGGGATCTGAGTAGCTAGTTCCTGTTAACCTCTGGCACCCAATCCTCCCTCTCCAACCTGAATCCCTTCCTTCTTTGCAGTGCCTACTCCTATAACCCTTACCGTCTCTCACTGGAATCATTTCTGGAGCCTCAATACAGCCTCCAATCCCTCTGCACACTTCAGCCTAAGGGACAGTTCTAGAACAGGGCAGGTAAAGACAAAAGTCTTACTCTGTTGCCTGGGATAGAGTGCCATGTTATCAGCCTAGCTCACAGCAACCTCAAACTCTTGGGCTCAAGTGATGCTCCTGCCAACATACTCAGTGAATTTTCCCAATTTTAGTAGAGGATGCGGTCTCTTGCTCAGGCTGGTCTTCAACTCCTGAGCTCAAATGATCCTCCTGCCTTGGCCTCCTAGAGTGCTAGGATTACTAGCAGAAGGCTCGGCATCCAGCCCCTGATGCTGTTTTTACACAACTCAAGAGTTTAGAAAGGATTTTGTTTTTAAATGGTTGAAAAGTCAGAAGAATCTTTTGTGACATGTAAAAATGTCACAAAATAAGAAATTCTTATTACAGTGTCCATAAATAAAGTATTATTAAAACGCAGTCATGCTCATTATTTATGCATTTTCTACAATGCCTCTACACTATAATGTAGAGTTGGGTAGCTACAACAAAAGTGTAAGAGTCGGGTTTGGCACCTGTGGCTCAAGTGGCTAAGGCGCCAGCCATGTACACCCAAGGTGGTGGGTTCGAATCCAGCCCGGGCCTGCCAAACGACGACAGCTGCAACCAAAAAAAA